AAACTTGAAATCCGGAGAGTTGATATCCTTTAGCAAACTGTCAAATGGTGATGGCAGCTTGGGTGGTTGAGTCCCACGGCGAGAACGTGGTTGCGCGGCGGGAGATTCTTGGGAGATGGCTTGTGGGGCTTCCTGGGAAATCGGGGATGGCTTCTCTGCTCGCTTCGGTTCTTCTGCCGGGGTCGCAACATTGACACTTGCAGGCCGTGGGCTATTGATGGAGGCTTGGCTACCAGTTAGACTAGTCCTTCTAGTTCGGTGAATAGCAACGTCCTTATTAGCCCAACTGGCGGTTGACGGGAGAGCCGGACCGTCTGGTATGCCGGTGCGACTACTGATCGAGTCATCTTTGCTCGGTTGCCGGCGCATAGGATGGGCGATGGGTTGAGCGGTCCTGACGTGGGAGGGGATAGGCGGGATGTTAGGGCGTTGGGTGGAAATCGTGTTCATAGATGAGAGGTCCTGGCGGCTGTAGCTGTCGCTGTCCTCCCCAGTCTCGTGCAAGAAAGTGCAGTTCCGATTATTGCACTGCTCATTGCGAAGGAAGGACGAGCAATATTTGGTTGTTCCGTATTGCGCCCTGAGCACTCGATCGCCATTTCCGGAACCATCCACGGCGTTGATGCACATCGCAGCATCGGCTTTGCGCGAGAAAGTCACATAAACACCAATTCCCTGGTTAGGGTTGCCGCCCGGCTTAGCCTTGCTGACCACAATCTTCTCAATCTCGCCATATTGACCGAAATATTCCCGCCCACGGAGCGTTTGAAGGAGTTGATTTTCGTCCCGGATCGTAGGGTTGAGGCCGATAACGTAGACCAAGTTCTTTTGGACAACACGGACACCGGCCAAGTTCTTCCGACTGGAAGCCTCGATTTCCCGCTTTTCGGCTTCCTTCTTTTTAGCAGCAGCAGCCTTGCGATGTTTCAGTGCCAGATCTGCCTTGAACCTAAACGCAGCACGTTAGTTGGGATGTGGCGAATATATCAGAGCATAGGCCGACTCACTCCTCAACGTCAGGAATCTTGTACTGGATGGTACTTTCATCGTATCCACGTCGACAGTTAGGGCATCGTCCTTCTTCATTCTGCGTCTTAATGTTGTTGTAGCAGAATTGGCAAATCTAAAAATCACATGTCAGGTCTGGCACAGGGAGACAAAGGCGAGTCATCTGTCCCCGCGATCATAAAACGAGTACTGGGAGAGACGCGTAAAGGATGTTGATCGAACATACCTGATATCCGCAAGGACACGGTTTGAAATTCTTATCGGAGAGATCGAACTCTTCAATGCACAGGGGGCTGTGGGGTGATCAGTACACAGATCGCGCGAGTTGAACGAGTTTCAAGACCTACCAGAACTCGTCATCGTCGTCGATGACGGAATCGATCAATGAAAGACTGGACATGGTCGCGGGGGAAACGGTGACAACCCGACAGGGACACGAGATCTCAAACGCCGACACCTGATTAAATCGGATGAGAAACTGGGAAAATAAAAGAAATACGCTGCCCTGTAAAGTGTAGAAAGACGAACGGCAATTAGTTGTTTGAGGAGGAGCGAGAAGAAGAGAGGGCAAAAGAAAGGGTGTAGATGATTGATAGAAGACGATGAACGGGGAGAAGAGGAAGGAAATTGTGAAGCGCGGCTTCATTTTGCTGGCATTACCAGATTTAGTTTAGCGTATGTCCAACACGTGACCAGAAGTGCTCGACCACTCTAAACCTTCACAATCCGACTTACGTGCCTCCGTCCCCCCTCCAGTTGCATTGCCATTGCTCCCTCTACACAATGGCCTCCGCACGCTCTTTGATGCGCCTGGGTTCTGGACGCTCTGTGGCATCTGCCACGAGGTCCATGGCCGCCCGCACCTTTTCCTCCGCCTCCCTTCAGTGTGCCCCCAAGGCCTCGACAGCACCGGGCCCGGAACCTGAGAACATGCGCCAGGCGCAGCGCCCGCGTATGTGCAATGGACCAGCCGATATATAGGACACAATTGAGCTAACCGAACCGTATTTTGCTAGCCTCGGGACCCCTCCGCGCCCCGGTGGTCAACCCTACCGACAAGTATCAGCCCATGGCCGATAGCCTTCACGCCTATGGGCAGTACGTCATGTCCTGTCTGCCCAAATACGTCCAGCAGTTCACAGTCTGGAAGGATGAGCTCACCGTGTACACCGCTCCCGCCGGTGTTGTCCCCGTGATGAGCTTCCTCAAGAACCACACTGCCGCCGAGTTCACCCAGATATCCGACATCACGGGTGTCGACTTCCCTACCCGCGACCAACGCTTTGAGGTCGTCTACAACTTGCTCAGTGTCCGCCACAACTCCCGTATTCGTGTCAAGACCTACGCGGACGAGGCCACCCCCGTCCCCAGTGTCACTGGTCTCTTCGAGGGTGCTCTGTGGTACGAGCGTGAGGTTTACGACATGTTCGGTGTGTTCTTCTCCGGCCACCCTGATCTGCGTCGTATCATGACCGATTACGGCTTCGATGGCCACCCACTGCGCAAGGACTTCCCCTTGACTGGTTATACCGAGCTGCGCTACGACGAGGAGAAGAAGCGCATCGTTATTGAGCCCCTCGAGCTCACCCAGGCCTTCCGTAACTTTGAGAGCGGCTCTACTGCTTGGGAGCCCGTGGGCGCGGGTCAAGACCGCACTCCTGAATCCGTAAGTCATATTATCCGGGTTGATGAAAGACAATGTTCTAACCTGTTCGACTATAGTTCAAGCTTCCGACCCCCGAACCGGAAGAGAAGCAGGAAGAAAAGAAATAGAAAGGGTCTGTATGCGTATCATTTTATTTGCCATGTTTTTATGTACATATCCGTCAGTGTTAATCGATGGTTTCTCTTCGTCCAAGCAATATGTCTAAGCGATGTATTGATTGTAACAGTTAACTTGCCCGAATTCAATCATAAAATAAACCCTGGTGGTCGGTAATAAATATAAATTTCTTCCAGAATCCCAATCTACGAAGAAATATATGCCCTGAAGTAGATATCAAGGCGGCTGATTTGCGATGGCCATTGCAAGCGTCTGTCTTGGCGCCGGGATCCGCCCAAGAAAAAAAAAAATTAAGCTACACCAACATCCGACGATCAACACGACCTTCGAACCCGCGTCCTTTTGTCCTTTTTCTACCCGACTAGCCATACATTCTCCGACTCGCCCGTCTCATCAACCTGCATCTCCATACACACAAGTCACCGAACAAAATGCCCAAACGCAAGCTCGACGAAGTCAGCGGTCCCCCGCGGTCCAGCGACACCCGCAAAATGTCCATTCACGGCACCCGGTTGACGCAAATGTTTGAGAACGGTGTATTGATGATAATTCGTGGTCTCAAGACATCGCGCGGCTTTGAGCGACAAAAGCTCAGTAGGCGAGAGAAGACAGCGAAGGCGCAGAAGGACGATAAGGCGTTGGCGCGACTAAAGGAAGAAATCGAAACCTTAAAGGTATGTAGCTATTGCTATTGTTATTGGATACACCCAGACGGCTTTGCTGAGGGTCCTCACCTGGGAACTCGATTGCTAATATTTGTTTTTACAGGGTCTCGATTACCATGTCATATCCGAGCGGTACCTATTCAAGCAACTTATCAGGACGAAGCGGATTGCAGAGACACGGACGTTCGGGGAGTTCCAAGCAGTAAAGAAAGTCTCCCTGGATGGACCGAAGAGTACGGCCGAAGCCAATATCCTAGCACGACTATTCAAATCCACTCCCGTGCAGAAGGAAATACCCGGCATTATGGCCGGCATTCGGAAATTACTGAAAGTCGACGAGGCGCCGGCAAGCAAGGCGAAAAAGGAGGACAACAAGAAGGATGCGCCAACGACTAAGCCACGAAAGAAAACCAGCGAATCCGAGTCTGAATCAGAGGCAGCGATGACAAAACCCAGGCGCGGCGAGCAGGTCTCCCGCTCCACGAACGACATGAACATCTCCGACTCAAACGAATCCGGAGACGAAGACCTATCACAATTCGACTCGCGGCTTGGACCAGGCTCAGACTCCGAAGCTGACTCGGAATCCGGCGTCGAGGAAGACCCAGCCACAGACGATATCTCCGATTCTATCACCCGTTCACCCTCACCCTCATTCTCCGCCGCGGATTCCCCGCCACCCAAGAAAGCAAAGGCTACTAAGGGCGCTACTGCAGCGGTGAATAGCACGACATTCCTACCGTCTCTAATGCACGGTGGTTACTGGTCTGGCTCGGAAGAGGCCACTGATGAGGAGGATTCTGGTGCGAAGCCTGTCCGCAAGAACCGTATGGGTCAGCAGGCGCGTCGGGCTTTGTGGGAGAAGAAGTTCGGAGCCAGTGCAAACCACGTCAAGAAGGAGCAGATGGCTGCGAAGTATGGGGGCAGAGATAATGGATGGGATACGAAGCGCGGTGCAACCGACGGTGGGAGAGGTGGGAGAAGTGGGAGAGGCGGGAGAGGGGGCAGGCGTGGTGGTTTCGGTGGTGGATCTGCACGGCCTCAGGACAGAGATGGCCCTGGCCCTGCTGGTCCTCGCTCTGGGCAGCATTCCGGTGGCAAGCCTAAAGGTCCGCCTAAGGATGAGGGCCCATTGCACCCCTCTTGGGAGGCGAAGCGGAAGGCCAAGGAGCAGACGACAGCTGCTTTCTCTGGAAAGAAACTTACGTTCGATTAGGGCTATGGACATTATGTATATTTATCAATGTTCGAGGTATCATCACAAGCAAACGAGCAGATATTAAGATCTCCCTACTGTGTATACAAGCTGAAAGTCATCCAACTTTGGATAAGTAAGAGATTGATTGCAATAATGATTTGTTGCTTTGGGAATAAGCTGTGTACAATTTCCGAGAGTTCCACCACCCAGGCGCAATAAATAGCAGTAGAGAAACAGTCGCAAGATGGTATACCAAGAAAACGAAAATGAAAGTTATAAGACCGAACCCAAACATGTTGTATAGATGAGTCGCTGCTTAAGAATAAAGGACGATAGAAAAAATCAATCATGAATCCCTCATGAAGTTCAGCCAGTGAGGGGGGTCAGAACTGCCACCTGGCGGCTTCATTTCAGCACCAGGCAAACCATTAGGCTGAGCCTGAGAATCTGGCTCGAAGCAAGGAATGGCAGTGAACTCGCCCAACTCTTGTGGGAAATTGGAAACAAAATGATCGAAGCCAAAGTGTGGCATATGTGAGAGGGACTGCTGAGAAATGGAGAAAGTGTCGGGGAGTGGGACTTCTTCGCCTTCTGGAATGCTATGATCAGGCACAGCGGGTGTTGGAACAGTACCACCCACGCCAATCATGGCCGCGGAAGGAGGCGTCAGGGACATGCCGTGAAGAAGAGTAGAAGGACCTGCCATGGTGGAGGCTTGAGAGGGTACGCTCTGTGGGACGTTTTGCTCACTTGAAGCATAATTTTCCTGCTGTTGCCACGCGAGCGTGGACGGCGAGATAGGCCCTGCTTTCCAAAGCATCTCCCAGTTTTTAAACCGGTCATAGGCGGATTCGACGCCACCCCCGCTGCTCATATCCGGTTGTGTCTCGCTCCATGCTTCGAGGCGGCGAATGGCACGTTCGAGCGCCTCTATGACACTGACAGCTGAACGGGCTGAGCCAACACCCATAGACATGATCTTGATTAGGGAAATTCCCTGTTCGAGAGCAGCACCAAGTCTTTCAGTTCGTTTGGTCAGGCCCTGGGCCAAAATGACTAACAAAGCTGCACGGCATGAACTAAATTCGGTAAACGAGGCTCGCGCGAGACCGGTCTCATCACGGAGCAAGCGGCACAAATCGATGATTTCTAAAGCCGCTTCCACGCAATCTGTAACAAGAGTCGCGCGATTCTTTGACAGACCGGACAGGGCGGAAGACCCCTTGTACGGGGGACCTTGAGAAGGGGTCGGATAGATGCCTTTGATATTACTGAAAAGGAAAGGGCGTCCAATGAAGACTCGAGTCAGACAGTAGTCTAGCTTGAGGTGGACATTAGACCTGAAGAGCGGCCCTGCAGGATTCAGATCACGGCAGGTAACCTCTTCTGGTAGAGTCGACCACCAATCAACGAGATTTTTCCGGCAACTCAGTAATCGTTCAAGACAGTCCTGCTGTTGATCTTTGCGGTATTTTCGCAATGAGCTAATTTCATTTGAAACCTCTCCGAGCTTCAAAGTCAATGTAATGAGTGTTACCATGTTTTTATGGTTTGAAATTTGATTGATGGGCATCAATCCAGGGAAATCGACCGGCAAGGGACCATCAACGTCGGGGTCCGACAACGATGACGGTCTGCCGTGGAGAATGCTTATACGCTTTTCGATAGTAAAAGCTGTCCAGAAAACCCGATTCCGCACTTCGATCATACGCGGAGACAAGCCTTCGCCGTGATACCTCCGATGCATTCCATTTTGAATGGCCAATTTGAGTGCCAGGCCAAAGTATGTGTAGCATAGCCCTGAAGTATCCAATGGAAGCAAGTACGTCCCGATAAGTAGACAGGCCTGCACGCTTCGAACGGAAGCAGTAGCGATGATGTCTGGTAAAAGCCTCGAGGCAAATTGGTAGAACGTGAGTCCGACCTCATCCTCCGAAAAGTGATGATCCTGATTTGCTGTAGAGCCTGAGGGCAAGCAATTCACAGGTGTGGATGACTCCATATGTGCGAATTGAGTGCCCACGGCCAGGACCATAAGAATGCAGCACACTGCGCCTGCATCGTCAAATGACAAACTTTCAGGGTCAGTGTAGCAGACGCCCAATTTCTCGATCAACCAGTCTTCCTCAATGTAAAAGTTATTGGTTTGTGCGTACTTGAAGAAGATTTGGACAAGAAAATCGGCGACATAGCGCGGTGGTAGACATGTAATTGAGGCAGATACCTGAGGTGACGCGGACTGGAGTTGTGTACTTCGCCATCGCTCTTCAAAAGGCTCGACTTCAGAAGTCGCCTGCGGGTAGGGCTTAGCATGGGTGGCTTTGTTCACCGACAATTCGCGGAAACCTACCTCGGGTGCTGCAGTCTTCATCCACTCATCGATCTTCTTCCGGATCTTCATTGTGAAATTCAAGTATGAAAATTCCCCGGAATATTCTGAGGAATATTGTCAATCAAGAAATCCCCATGAACGGTATGCAGAGAGGCAACATACGGGTTGTGTTATCAGGCATAGCCTTGATTGTAAAGTCCTCCTCATCAATGGCAAGATCCTCCAGCTCATTTGGGTCTCCCCGGGTAGAAATCGCATCCGACTCAGAATCGCGGTGTTTGGTCTTCAGATCCTCTGCAGCCTGGCGCAGAGACTGAATATCGAAAGTGACGTTGGGAACATAGTGCGATAGGAGACGTTCCATCAGGCGCACCCGTTCTGCCTCGGCGATGTCATTTCGACTCTGGGCGGCTGCACGGTCCAAAAGTCTGATATCAGGTGTTGCGCCGTTAGCGGTCTAGATCATAATAAAACATGGGCTATGCGGTCAACCTACGAGACAGAGGTTGACCGGGTCTTCTCATTGGGGTCAATGTGAGTAAAATTGCACTGGCGGCGGTACCGCAGACATCTCCGACACGGCACACCTCCTTCGCATTTCTCTTTCACCCGGCGACAACCATCGCACCTGCACAAAAAGGATTATGTTAGAGGACCCAATTTATTTGATATACTAGGGCGATATCATACGCTCGGACAGCTCGCTTGCGGTTTTCTTCGGCCACGCGAGGACGTTTTTGCTGGGTGGGCGTCGGGGTCGAGTCGTCCATTACCGTGACAGCGGATCAGGGCATGGTCTAGAGAAAGGAGAAAAGATGGAGATATTGTAAACAAAGAGAGGTATAAATATATGCAAAGAGATAACAGTCACAGTAATGTCCAGGGTTGGAAAATGGCCATGTGAGGAGAAAAAGGGAAGCTAATCGATAAAGGCACATCCCCGCATCATCCCGGACTTATTTTGCCTCCGCTCATCGGTCTCTGTGGCTTTTGGGGCGCCGGGGGTATTGGGGCTATTTTGTCATGTTCGATGTCTTTTACGTTTTTTTACGATACTTTTCTTTTTCTTTTTCTTTTCCACTTTTCCAAGGTTATATCTATGGCTTAGTTATATAAATATAATTCTGATTTATTACAGCTTAGAAATCTAGCAGATTAACTCCCGACGTCGGTATAGTCCCTCCACGTCCGATGCCGGTTTGATAAGATAATGGCCCATTGCATAGATATATATATATGGAAAATAACACAGCTTATTTTACTACCAGAGCTTAACAAAACCAAGGTTCCTGTTTAGGGACCAGGCCATATCCCAGTCTGACAATATGTACCACATTCCTGTAGGGGACCCTATAGCTCCCCAGTTCTGGGAGTACTTCACTTGCAGCATTCTATGTTCTTTACTTACTCCCTTTCATTTATTTCTCCTTGTACTTCATTTCTCCTAGGGCTGCTTGGGCCACTTTGGCCTGGTGCTTGGACTTTCTTCGTCTCTTCATCTGTCTTGAATATTGAGAACGAAACCGTGTGTCACAGTGCAAACAGCCCTAGACTGGCCTGGATATGCAGCCTACCATTAGATATTTAGAGATAACTTCCACTGGACCGGCATGATCCGATTTTCCCCTGATTTTCCTGGGTCTCATATCTTCTCAACACACATCGCCAGAGGATGTTCACAAACAGGCAATGTTTGGTGGTCAAGGTAGACGAGAAGTTTGCCAGGCAAATCTGTTTGGCGAGAGCAACATGTGCTCAAATTCAAATATAAAAACCACCCATTTTCCCTTCCAAGCACTTTTTCATTTCTCCCTCAGACCTCAAGCCCGGACTTCAATACTGATCTTTTTTATCAACTTGGTGAGTTCCTCCCGTCACTGCCTAGTGACCAGCAATTCATTCTAGCCTTCACTTCTCTATAGCAACAATAGCATCTCCGCTAGACGATTTTTGCCCCTTCACCTAGGGCCTCCGGTGGGACTAGGGAGGTTCCTAAGTCTTGGGTGGAAATCATGGACCTATTATATGATTGTCAATCCCGTGATTACAAGCATATCATATGGTGGCAACCTGGGCTGGCGCGTGGACGAAGGGGTCCTGCGACTGCACAACGGACATGGTGAGAAATGCCAGCAGGCCGCATTGACGAAGTCATTGGCAATGAGGCACTTATTGGTAAAGCTTGCGATATCTACGCCGACAGCCAGGGGGAGTTCTCTTTCAGGCGGCATTCAATATAGCAGGAGGAGAATGCCCCCTGACCGTCAGCGCAAATATCGCAAGCTTTACCAATAAGTGCCTCATGGCCAATAACTTGGCCTAACGCGGCCTGCTGGTATTTCTCACTATGTCCATGGGCTAGTTATAGACCTCTTCGTCCACACCCAGTCTAGTTTGCCACCATGTGCTAGCACTGTTTCCGCCATCGCCAGGCCGGGTCCCTTCGCGCGGCACCTTTCAGGATTAGCTGGCCTTTCTCGTTAAGGCCCTCATGGGGTATTCTCCTCTTGCCGCGTTATTGATCTGCCGATATCATGATTATACTTCGTTGGCTGGAGCCTCAATTTCGCTTCACTTTTATTCTATTTTTGTGTTTTCTACCAGTACCTACTATATATTTATCTTCCTTCATCTATACCTCCACCCCTTCATTTCCCCTTCACAATTCAAGATGTGTCGCTGGCCACGCTCCCGACTGAGGTGCTGGATACGGCCTGGAGGCCAAGAACTTTCACTTTATATTTTATTAGTCGTGGTTCAGACGATTAAGCCTTCGTGATCCTTTCTCCGTGCCCCATGAAACAATACTACACACAAATGCATTCATAACTCCCGTTGTTAATTCTCGGCTTATGGGATGAAGTCGGCTTCGATTGCAAATGCTTAAATGACTTTGCTCCAACCATCACCGCCTCGAGTTATCCTCTCCGCCTGTTGACTATAAGGATGCACTAATTATGAGTTTCTAACATATCACTATTCTTTTTGGGTGGCAAGGGTGGATCAGAAATCTACTACCTTTCCAGCTCTCAACGATCTGGCGGATCCACAGCATGCAACCATGAGTCGGCCACCTAGCCCGCCCAACGTCCAAGCTAGAGTTCCTGGTATGACTCCCCTGGCTCGCTCTAAAGTACGACTATGACGATGACGCGATGAACCAAAGGTCATCCCTCGGCGTCTAATTTTCGCAACCAGACTGGTTAGGGCACGCCTGGTTGCAGACCGGGAACGACGCCATTGCCTGCGAATATGACAAGTCATTAGGGACTTTCAATGACATTACCACATGTGGTCGAGGAGAAAGCTTCGACGGCCTAGTGCCTAATGATGTTTAATCATAATTCTGATCAATGATAGCGTTTCTCGTTCTAAAATGTAGAAATACCAAAGCTGTTTAGAACCCATCAACATGAGTCCCAAGCCCCATCTCAACCCCAACATCAAGCACCTTCTTCCCGACAACAAGATCCATAAGTCCCATACCAACACATTTGTAGACAACATTACAACCAGCAGGAACATCAACGGCCCCCTCCGCAATCCCCTCCGGCCCCAAAAGATCCCCCATCTCAATCAACTGCTCCTCCCCAAGACCCGCAGTGATCAACTCCCCAGCCTCCTCCAGACAAGCCGACTTAGAATCAACATAGACTTTCCCATCGCCAGAAAGCAGCGTCTCAGTATCAATCTCATGCATATTAGGCTTGTACGAGCCAATCAGCGAGATAAACCGCTGCTTAGGGATCGTCTGCAGGGCCTTATACTCGAAATTCGGCACCGTGGCAGGCGTACAACTAAAGATAACATCCGCAGCAGCGAGTTCCTGCCCGAGCCGCTCCTCATAATTGGCCACACCCTCCTTAGAAAGCGTCCCAAAGACAACACCGGGGTAAGTCCCACGCAACTCAGCGACAACATCCCTCTCCAACTCCGCCAGCCTCTTCGCACCGCGGTTCACAAACGTCATGCGGCGGACCTGGTCTGGGTAAAGCAGCAGCGCAAGGCGAGCATGCCACTCTGCCTGTCGACCGCTACCGAGAACAAGTACGTTGTCCTTGCGGAGGGTGGTGCAGCGCACGAATAGGGTCATTGTTGCTAGTGCGGTGCGGAAGGCTGTTACTTCTGCTGCGGCGAGGAGACCCTGGAGGCGGCCTTCTGGGTTGAAGATGTTGATTACGCCTTGGATTCCGGTGCGACCGGCTGTTACCACTTTTATGCCGGTGGATGCGGTATCCGATACCGGCATGAAGATGCAGGTGTTGTCTTCGCTTGTGCTGAACACTGTGCGGAGGGGTTGGTGGATTTTTTTGGCAGATTCTGGGGTTGAGGGCTTTGCTTCATTCGTTATGCTGATTAGAGCGTCGCCGAGTGCTGAGATGAAGCTGCGGCATTGGTCTTGTGTTAGACCGCGGAAGATTTTGGAGACGTTTGGCTCAGAGAGTATGTGCATTTTGGTTGAGTGTTTGATTGCCTTTTTGAGACGCTTCCAAGATCAGTTTTGTCAAGTTTCTTCAATGTAAAGAAGTAAATAAGATGCTTTCTGAGGTGATGAGTAGAATATACGGGGTAGACCTTCTGACAGGATAGACCTTCCGACATATAGTGACCTCGGGAGGGGCAAGTCGTTCCGGTGGGGTCTACTCCGTACATTCCAAATGATTTGACCTCGATCATGCCGGTTGGACAGTACTAGATTATCTCTCTGGTCTGGTTTCTTACTTCGATTCTTATCTTTACTAAAAATTATAGGGTCACTTCGTTTTCAAAGATTGATTTCATTGATCATCATCAGAATGGACTTATAAGGTTCTCATAAAGTAGTAGCAACGCCATGAAGAATGCACCCAGCTATACGCAAATAAAAAATGCAACAAAAAGAAAAACGCAGCGAAACAGCCCGTAGGCTGCTAAGTAAAGACAAAACGATCTAGGTAGCCTCCGAAAGTTGAAAAGGAAAATCAGGAAAGACTCGGATATTACTTGCTGCTGCTGAAGACATTGCCAATGCGACGCTTCAACTCGGCGATCATTGCGATCTGAGAGTCCTTAGTACGGCCAACGGCCTCGGTGTTCTCCACAGCGCGACGGAGCAGGAAGCCCATGCATTCCTGAACGGAGCCCCAGGTCAACAGCTTGAAGACATTGGGGGCATCCATGGGGGTAGCCCCAACACTGTCCTCGGCACTCTCGAATCCTTGAAGCAATTCACAGCTAACCTCGTCAGCCATGCCCTGAAGCTGAGCGTAGCTAAGATCGACACCGTAATCCTCGCCGCGGGTAGCCTGTTCCATGCGCAGAGCATGAGCCTTGCGAACAGACTCACGGTTGTGAGTAGCAATGATGACATTCACGGGCGGGAGTTCAGCAGGAGTATCCTTCGAAGGAGCCTGGAGCATGGAGTTGTACTTGCGAGTGAGGAGGGACTCGACAACTTGATCGTAGCACTGGTCAGTCTCCTCCTTCTCAGCCCAGACGATCTGGCGGGGCTCGGTCTTCATGTAGGCACCGCGGACGAGCTTAACACCAAGAGTGTATCCCTCAGCACGAGCAGTCTCAAGGTGCCGGGCTAGAGTGGCAGGAGTAGAGCGCAGGTAAGCTTGGTAAGTTCCGTAGAAGATGGCGCGGCCGGGGGTCTGAGAGTTGCAGTATTTCTGATACTTCATGATCCAGGCCTCGATACCAGGCTGCACGGCCTGCTCTTCGGCGTCGACCAACAGACGGACGCCACGGGAGATGGCGAGATCGCAGACCTTCAGGATAGAGTTGT